CTTTGTTCAGGATTTGGGTCTCCATGACCCTGGTTACCAAGGGGATCAATTCACTTAGATGACCAAGCGCATGGGTGCGGCATGCAATCGTGAACGTCTGGATAGGGCGCTTTGCTCCCAGTCTTGGATTGATACTTATCCGGAGACTTTGGTCAAACATTTTACAGACCATGGATCGGATCATCATGGCCTGCTCCTCTATGATAAACCGTATAGTAGGAACAGTCATCCACTTTTTCGGTTTGATGCCCGCTGGGCGGATAATCCTGAGGTTAGGGCTATGGTCCACTATGTCTGGCAAGAGGAGATCAAAGGTACCCCTATGTTTCGACTTTGGGAGCGCCTTAAGTAACTTTGGCACTTGCTTTATGATTGGAGTAGGGCGGGCACTACAAACTCCCTGCGTAATATCATGAATCTCCAGGCAGAGATTGACCGGATAAAGTCGGTCCATCTGGTGGACTAGTATGTGATCAGGACCCTGGAAATGGAGCTGTCCCGTCAATGGGAAGCAGAAGAGATATATTGGCAGCAAAAATCTAGGGTTTGATGGTTAAAAAAATGATATCAAAATTCCGCCTATTTCCATACGGTCACTCGGGCTCGACGGAAACATGATTTTGTCTCTGGGCTCCGTAATGATGACGGTGAATGGGTCACTGAGGAAAATGGGAAGGCTACCATTTCTACCAACTTCTACCAGAATCTGTTTACCTCGGAGACCCAGGTCCCTAATATGACTGATAGGGTGGCCAACCTTCCGATTGCCCATAGTGTTACTTCGCAGATGAATGCGCAATTGACGGTGGAGGTTTTGCATAGTGAGGTTCGGAGAACACTATTTTCAATGGGGTCGAAGCAGGCCCCGGGATCTGATGGCTTCACAGGAAAGTTCTTCAAAGCGTTTTGGGATATTGTGGGCACTTTAGTGATTGAAGCAGTATGTTCTTTCTTTACAACTAGTAGGATGCTGCGTAGTTTTAACCATACCTGGCTCACTTTGATTCCTAAAGTGGATTCTGTGGAAACAATCAGACAGTTGCGTCCGATCAGCCTTTGTCAGTTTGTTTACAAAGTGATAACCAAAATCATGGCGGAATGGCTTGCTAGCAACTGCTTCCTCAAAACGTCTCGGAGGGTCAAAATGCATTTATTAGAGACCGGCAGATTATTGACAACATCGTCATAGGACATGAGTTAATGCATTATCTAAAAATAAAAAAGCAAGGGAATAAGGGGTACATGGCTCTGAAGGTTGACATGGAAAAGGCTTATGATAGAGTCGAATGGCCCTTCCTTCTCGCGGTTTTGGATAAAATGGGTTTTAACTCTGTCTGGCAGGGATGGATACATGAATGTCTTCGCTCTGCCTATTTTTCGGTTCTGATGAATGTACACCCTCGGGTTATTTTGCGGCCTCTAGGGGGCTCCTACAGGGGGATCCGCTCTCGCCTCTCTTGTTTTTGCTTTGCACGGAGGGGTTTGCGACCCTCCTCCATAAGGCGATCTCGGAAAAGAAACTGGAGGGGGTCAAAGTGGCTCCACGTGCTCCGAGAATCTCTCATTTGTTCTTCGCTGATGATTCTTATTTATTCCTGCGAGGTACTCTTCAGGAGTGCGAGAATTTAATTGAGGTGCTGAATGAATATGAGGAGATGAGTGGATAACGGGTTAATCTTGAGAAATCTGCGGTGTGCTTTAGCAAAAATATTGCCCTGCCAGATCAAGAGCTCTTGGCCACGATTCTAGGGTTTGGTGTAGTTGGTGTCCATGATAAGCATATAGGGTTACCCACGCTGATTGCCCGGTCCAAAATGGCTACGTTCCGATACTTGGAGGAGAAATTATTGGAGCGACAAAAGGGGTGGAAGCAAAGGACTTTGTCCTGGGAGGCAACGGAAACACTGATTAAATCTATAGCTTTGGCTCTACCCCTTCATGTTATGTCGTGTTTCCGATTACCTCTCTCCCTTTGTCGCCTTTTGGATAAGCATGTGGCATGGTTCTGGTGGGGTGCTGATGAGGGTCATCCTAAGGTTAGGTGGGTGTCCTAGCGCAATATGTGTGCAGGAGCAAACATGATGGCGGGATGGGGTTTCGCCGGTTTGAGAATTTTAATTAAGCTCTTCTGGCCAAACTTGGCTGGTGTATCCTCAATGAACCTCATTCCCTCCTTGCCCCAGGAATATAAAGGGAAATATTTTCCTCAATGAATTTCCTGGGCGCGACAGCTAGGTCCCGCCCTTCTTGGGGGTGGCAGAGTATCCTGTTTGGGCGCCAGTTGCTGGAGATGGGGTTAAGATGGCAGATTGGCAATGGCCAAATGGAATCTCTCCACTCTAACTGGATCCCTGGGCTCCAGCTGGATCCCCTTAACTATAACCCGCGGATCTTGCCAGATGGTGGTGACCCCTCGGTGGCGGAGGTTATTTGTCCGGGGGAGGGGTGATGGTTAGATGATAAGCTTAGTCAATAGTTTGACCCGCCTATCTGTCGTGCCATCAAGGCTATTCCACTCCCGCAATTTAATGTGGCTGATAAACTTATTTGGCATAACACAGCGGATGGATTTTTCTCGGTTAAATCAGCTTACCATTTGGCTGTTAAGTTAAACATAAGGAGGGGTGCGTGGCGATCCTCGGTGAGTTGGATGGATCAGCCAAGTTGGACCCGTTTGTGGGAGGCTAAGATTGCTCCAAAGCTGAAAGTCTTTGTCTAGCAAATTCTTAATCGGGCTCTACCGACTACTGAAGCGGTCATTGCAAAAAAGAGAGAAAATGCCTATTTCAAAAGGTTAAAGGTTGGGGTTCCAAATCTTCCTTGAGCGTTCAGCCTGTTATCTCTAGAGTAACTTTTATCCGTTGAGCGACGACCCTTCCACTCGGCACCGTCCATAGGTGTGGGCAATCCATATGTTGAGTTGAACTGAACTATCCGTGGGATCTATTCACCTGCATTCTAAAAGATACACGGGAAGACTGTATACACGGGATGTTGCGAAAAGTATGTCAGGCGAAAAAGTCCCATACTTGAATAAGTACCTATAAAACCTTTAAGTAGAGTGAGTTTACGCAACTTCAACTTATCTTTCTGATAAGGTCCATGTGCTCTCCCGATGTTGGTCTGCTGGGATAATCTGGAGACGATGGAACATCTGTTTCTTTATTGCCCGGTTGCGCGGGCTCTCTGGGATTATTCAGGACTGGAGTACTTGGGGGAAGGCTTGCCTCGACACACCTTTCTGTTGTTTCTCAAAAGGCTATTGGCGCTGATCCATCGACTGTCATTGTTTATGGCTATGATTGCCATCCTTTGGTGGATCTGGAGGTCTCGTAACTCGGTTGTCTTTGAAGGCAAACAATTTGGGATCCATGGGTTAATGCGTCAATTTAACCAACAGTATGAGGAATGGGTGAGTTTGTCGATTGACCACGCTCCTAGGGTGTCTCTTCCGTTGGCGCAGCCTGTGATCCAAGTGGGGGAGCCTAGTTTGGTTTGCATGTGGGATGGGGCCACTAGAAGTTGGTCGCATTCGGCTAGTGGGATGGTCCTTCGGGATCCGGCAGGGATGATCCTTTTGGCCAAAAGTAATAAATCTGTAGAATTGAAAATATATTATGAAGACAAAAAAGAAGAAAAGATTAAAATTTGTGGGGTGTTTTACATAAATATTATAAAAAAATATTATGTAGTGGTAAAATTTCTTGATGAAGTGATAAAACAATGTTTATAAAAAATTTCTTGATGGTCATAGCCTTTTTAATATGAGTATTGTGGCAAGAAAGAGTGAAAGAATGATATGAAAACATGAGAACTAGTTTTCATATTTATATTTGAAAAAACTAGTCGTTTTCTGCTCGTTGTCGGGCTTATGTGACCGTTAGAACATAGAAGGGGTGATGTGTGAGGCCATGCATGCCGAGCACAATCGTAGTTGTGTAGCTCAGCATCCGCGAGGTTGTGAGAGCTGAGCTAAACTTATCTTGTTTAGACTCAATTTACGTGATGTCGTATATATTGAACTAATATATTCTACAATTGCACTCGGTATGCGCATCTTCACACTCGCACATTCTCACTTTCTTGTACGATATTCTCGTCAATACGATTTCAGACTTCTATTTTGGTGGTAATTTTTTTTATTTGCATGTAATTCACCCAAACTTGTGTGTAATTCCGACCTTAAACCATGACATAGAAAAATATTTTGAGGTTTAAAATTAGAAATCAAACGACGCATTGGCACTGTGTCATCCCTACGACAAGAGGTAGTTTGCGAGAAAACCCTCGTAGTCGTAAACCAATTGTTGATTTTTGCCACAGTGTCGAGAGCAAGGCGAGACATTCCATCCGGTAGATGTCCCCAGCCAGAAAACAAATCGGCTGGTTCCCTCTCTTCCCCTCTCCGTGCAATTCTTCTTCCCGGGGCGCTTCCTTTTTCACCGGATTTTCATTGGGGAAACTGTCGTCTGTGGATCAGGTAAAAAATTGACGTTGCATTGCATGCTCTGCGCATCTGGGGTGGTTCGTCCCTGTACTCCATGTCGTAATTTCTACTTTTCCTCTATTTTCACTTTTTCAATTTCATGCGGGTTGTTGATGAGATGGTGAATGGAGAGGTAAAGTTCGGATTTTTAATATTGGGTATCCTTGGTCTTTGTTTAGAATTTTGTTTTATCGCTCTATCGTTGGAGAGTTTCCGTCCTTCTATGTAAATCTATGTTCTGAAATCAATTCAACCTGGATCTTCCAGATGTTGTTATGATATCTTTTGTTATTGAACCGGGCACCAAGATTCCAATTTCCAAGGATGTTTCCTCATTGTTTCTCACTCTTGACTCCCCGGGTTTCCTGTTCAGGTAGTGCATATATAGCATCTGTTGGCCTGGTCTTTAGTCTTGACAGAATCATGAACAATAATTAGACGGAATTCTATTGTCCCTGGATGGAATTGTGGGTTGTTTACTGGTGTATGCCATCGACAGTGCTAGTCAACGACAATGAGCGTGGTTGGGTTTGATATCGGTAATGACAACTGTGTTATTGATGTTGTAAAACAACGGGGCATTGACGTGTTGTTGAATGATGAATCAAATCGTGAAACCCCCGCTGTGGTGTGTTTTGGGGAGAAACAGAGGTTCTTTGGATCTTCAGGTGCCTCTTCTGCTATGATGAACCCAAGATCTAGTGTAACACAAGTGAAGAGATTGATTGGAAGGAGGTTAAAGGATTCTGAAGTTCAAACGGACCTAAAAACATTACCATTTGAGACATCAGAAGCAAAGGATGGTGGCATTTTGGTTAATTTGAAATACTTGGGTGAAACGCACTCATTTGCACCAGTTCAAATCTTGGCAATATTATTTTCACATTTGAAAGATGTGGCGGAGAAGAACTTGGAAATGCCAGTCGTAGACTGTGTGATAGGAATACCATCATACTTCACAGATTTGCAGAGACGGGCATATTTGGATGCTGCTAAAATTGCAGGTTTGAAGCCTTTGAGACTGATGCATGACTGTGCTGCAACTGCACTTAGTTATGGTATATATAAAACCGATTTCTCCAGTACCGGGCCGACATATGTGGCATTTATTGACATTGGTCACTGTGATACTCAGGTGTCTATAGTATCATTTGAAGTTGGGCATATGAGAATAATGTCACATGCTTTTGAAAGCAACTTGGGTGGGAAGGAATTTGATGAGGTTTTGTTTGGTTATTTTGCGGCTCAGTTTAAGGAGCGGTACAATATAAATGTAAATTCTAATATCAGGGCTTGTATTAGGTTAAGAGCCGCATGTGAAAAGTTGAAGAAGGTTCTAAGTGCAAACTCAGAGGCACCCTTAAACATTGAATGCTTGATGGATGAAAAAGATGTTAAAGGTTTCATCAAGAGGGAAGAGTTTGAGAGGCTGTCATCAGGTTTGCTGGAGAGAGTTGGTATTCCTTGCAAGAAAGCTTTAGTTGATGCAGCCATCTCCGTGGGAAGTATTCACTCGGTCGAGCTTGTGGGATCTGGATCTAGAATACCAGCAATTGCTAAGTTAATAACTTCTTTGTTTGGAAGAGAACCTAGTCGGACTCTAAATGCAAGTGAATGTGTGGCTCGTGGGTGTGCTCTGCAATGTGCAATGCTTAGTCTAGTTTTTCGTGTAAAAGAATATGATGTAAGTACTTTAGAAATCAATTTGATCCCTTATATTTTTCCTGTTCCAAAGTCGCATGCACTTGCTTACATTGGCTGTTAGTGTTAACTATCAAATTACTGCTCCTTCCCCTTTTTTGTGGATGGGTTGTGTGCTTCTTTAATGATTAGGTTCCAATCAAATTAAATTTTGCATTATTACTGTAGCCTTTGATGTATGCATTTCATCATAGACTCTAGTCCTTGTATTTTCCCTTAACCCACTCCCCAGACTATCACTATGAATTGCAAAAGGGAATGTATGGCATGTTGTTTTACTTGTATACATATGTGCGTTCAACGACAGTTCAGGAACTTCTAGCTGGGTGGTATGCAGGTTCAAGAGTCGAATCCTTTCTCTGTAGGTTTCTCATCAGATGAAGGCCCAATTTGCACACCCTCATCTAATGGCATATTGTTTCCTAGAGGCCTATCCATTCCAAGTACCAAAGTCTTGACAATAATGTCGAGGATATGGGGAACTCTTTGGTCTTACATTAGGTCTTCTGCCTTCTCATAAAGATGTGGTTACTGGTCTGAACTCCCATTGCATACAGTTCTTGCCTTGTATCTTTTGGTCTCATGATGATAACTATATGCTCACTGTGTTTACCTTGTCTTTGTCCGTTAATGATGCACAATTTGTGTTGTTTTCTTGTTGTATTTTCTAAACACACCAGTCTTTGATTCAATGTTCATGTTGGTACTTTTTAGCTTCAAAAATGCTAGAGAAAATCATGTTGGGTTAAGGATATTTTAACTAGGACTGTCCATATTTCTAACCCTTGAAGCCTTTTTCGTGATGGCTTCCATATGGTTGGTAAGCCAATTATGGATGGACATCTGGGAAATGAAAGTATTCTACCATCTGTGATTGAGATGTAAGGATAATATACAATTCAGATAGTTAAGAAGAGTCCCCTGGACTGATATATGATTCAGTTAGTTAAGAAGAGTCTCCACACACTCCCTAAGCACATTTCTGTCTGCTTCAAAATCTTATTGGAGAGCGATCATTCAGCTTTTGGGCGCTGGCCGAGGGAGGAGATACAAGAAAGACTTCTTGTTGCTATGTGCATAGATTCAGGGTCGAACTGCCTTTAGATGTATGGTTCGATGGTGGTTAAGCACAAATAAGATCTTTTAGTAACAAGCAGCCACTTTCTGATGTCTGTTGAAGGGATTTGTTTGATACATTATGCTCGTAACTTTCTTTTCTATGCTTTCACATTGAATGTTACTCACTATTGATTTTGCATCTTGGACTTCTCATTCTCATGGATGGTTCCTTTGTCAATGGACTAAGGTAATCTAAAATTCTTTATATAGATTGATCCTTTACAAGGCTCCAGTAATGATAAGGCAAGGGTTAAGGTTAAAGTCCAGCTAAACCTCCATGGTATCATCGCTATAGAGTCGGCTACGGTAAACAACGTCCACTTTCATGCAGTCTTTTCATGATTAATTTGTACTTATAGATCTGAGAGATAATTGAATCTTAGCATGCTTATCTTGAAGGTTGTTAGTGGTCATGGTGATGACTTCAGTATGCATTCTCCATCTTCCGAATCTTCAATAAGTTCATTCACAATATATAATTTATTTATCATCCCTGATGTTTATGAAGACATCTTAAGTCTTTATAAATTGAGGCCAACAGGAAGCGTTCTTGTATTTTTCTTTTTGCATAGGTCATACTGTATTGACTTAATCTGCTAGGGCATCGGAGTAAATGATTATTCCAATTGTATCTGCAGGCAGATGGTTTGAGAGATAGAGGCAACCGTAGGATCAATATACCAGTGAGTGAAACTGTTTATGGTGGAATGACAATGGTTCAGCTTTCAGAAGCCCATGAGAGGGAACTTGAACTCCCCAACAGGACAAAATTTTGGAACAAGCCAAGGAAAAGAAGAATGCATTGGAGTCGTATGTCTATGAGATGCGTAATAAGGTACAAATTAGTTGGTTTAAGAATATGCAGTTCAAAAAGAGGGAGGAGGCCATTGTGAATTTAAGTGCGCATGTCAAGGATAACTATTTGTGTATTTTGGTTTTACGTCCTTTTCAATTCGCGGATTTTAAAGATCAATAATATGTGACATGTGCAGCTTTTTAACATATTACGGAGCTTTGCTAGCGATGAGGAAAGGGAGGGAATTTCAAGGAGCCTACAAGAGACGGAGGAATGGCTTTATGGAGATGGAGATGATGAAACTGAGAATGCTTACACCACAAAGATGCAGGATTTGAAGCAGGCAATCCTGTTTTTTTAAGCTTTGTCCTCCCAAAGTTTGTACTCTTTAGGCTGACTTTTTGTACCGCATTTTCATTAGTTGGTGGATCCAATTGAGAAACGATTCAAAGATGAGGAAGCTAGAGAATATGCCACAAGAGAATTTCTCAATTCCATTGCGGAGTTTCGAGCTTCATCAGAGTCTCTTCCAAATGAGGATAGAGAGCTGGTACGATAACATAAGAGACCAGATTTGCTCACATTAACTGAAAACTTGACCAATTCATTACTGTAATTATTTGTGGTTTCCTGATTTTGCAGATGATGAATGAGTGCCATAAAGCAGAACAATGGCTGATAGCAGTAACACAGCAACAAGAATCCATGCACAAAGACACTGACCCTGTGTTATGGTCCAGGGATGTGAAGAGCCAAGCAGAGAACCTTATATCGTAACTTTCCATTTCATCAAAATTTCACTTTTGGATGGCTTGACGACTTTCCATTTTTGTAAATCTTGATTGATTGAGTTTACATGACATGGAAGCACATACTGAAGAAGAGGACTTCACCAACTAATTTAGGAGGCAGCAAGGGTTCAGATCGGTAAAAGCAACATTGGCCAAAGCAGTTGAAGACTTTTGTAGACATAATTTCTCCTTTGACGGAATCAAAATACTCCACATTGTCATACTAATCCTTAAAATTTTGCATATTTTCAAAGCTATAGAAGTTAGAGAAAGAAAAAACAAAACCATGAAGAAAGGAAAAGGAAATTAGCCCATCTCTTTACCAATTTCGGTGGCAACTCATGAAAAACAAAAGGTCGGCAGCCACCATGGCAGTTAACCCAGAGTTTGCACGTTCTATTGGCTTACATTGTGCACAGAATCACTTGGGAATTTGAATTTGTATAGTGTAGAATCTACATCAAGTTTGTCAACCCGCGGGTCGACCCGAATGCGGTCGAGCTAGTGGGTTAAGGGTTAATGGGTCACCCGGTTTAGTCCAAAAATATGAAAAAGTCATTATATTGTACTTATTTTGAATCCAACATAAAAAATGATCGCACTTAAACTTCAACACACTTAAATAACATCAACTTAAATTCAACTTAGTAAAAATTCAACGACACTTTTGAACGAGCAGCCCACTGACCCGCTCGAACGGGCCAACCGCCCTGGGTTTTCCTAGGTTTGACCATTTCCGGGCTAACTCTCAAATGGGCTATTTTAATCCGTTTTCAAGGCCGGGTCAGGGCCAACCCGGGTCAATCCGCGGGTCGGCCCGCGGGTTGACAACCTTGATCTACAAACATTGTGCCGATTAATTCTTATAACTTTTCTAGTGTAGCAATAGGTAGCCCATGCGGTGGTTAGAAAGGCACTTCCATTGTACCGACTATGTGTCATTTCTTTTATTTTCATACCTAGCTGCACTCTATGATGTAACTATCTCTCTTTGAATCAATATATGATTATCTTTTGTCCAAAAAAAAAAGAATTCTAGTGATTTTGGGTGCTCCCCATTTATCTGTTTTCTTGGCCATTTCTGGACAACACTATAAACGAGCAACTAATCACGGGCCTGGCCAGTTGGCCGAATTCAGTTGTCAATCACTCAAATAACAGTAGCAATTTGTATTCGAGCTTCACATTAGTATAAAAATATTAATGTTCTTCAAATAATTATTTATTATTAATACCATTTCATGATGCGGAGCCAGTATAGCACGATGAACCAAATAGGTTCACGATGAACCAAATAGGTTCTTTCATTGTAATTCAAATGGAGATCACCATATACATCATGGACAATATCACCAATGCCATCTCCTTCACGTTCAATGCTCGAAGACGTTGGAATTGGCATAATTGACTCCCCAAAAACATTGGAGTCCCCTCTGTCACCTATATCCAAAATTCATTTGCCGAATTCTTCAATGTCGATAGCTTCTTGAGGCCTACAATTCTATAAGCACAATCTCATATTCTGATAGAGCTTCAAAACTTTTAATGAAGGCCATAAATGCTACCTCTTGATAGAAGAATTGACAATATCTGCTCGTGTTTCCTTAGCAATTACTGGTAATGTTTGTCAAAAATCTCCACCAAACACAATAGAAATTCCTCCAAAGATCATGTCCTCATTGTTTGAATGTTTCACTTGCAAAATGTCTCTGAATGTTCTGTCCTTGCTTCAATGTTATGCTTATGAGTCATAGGAGCTTCGTCCCAAATAATAAGAGAATCATTCTGAATCAACTCAGCTAGCTCTCTCCCTTGTTCAATATGAAATGTTAATTTTGAGTCATAGTCAATTGGAATGTGAAATCTAGAATAAACGGTTCTGCCTCTAACCATTAGCAAAGCTGCAATACCAGAAGAAGCAATACACAACACTATTTTCTTTTCCGCCCGTAGTTTCAAACGAATAACCTTCCAAAAAAATGTCTTCCATGTACCTTCGAATCCATAGACAAAGAAGCAGTACCCATTCTCTTCATCCATAGCTTGAACAATTTCATCGAATGCCATCCTCTACTCTGAATTCAGTTTTGGATACAAACTATTGAATTCCCTCATTAAATCTTCTGGATTGTAATTTAACTCCTCAACGATCATTCAATTTTGAGAATTTATTCTCGTAGCTCTAGATGGAAAGGGCAAACCTTGAAAATCACCAACGACTTCCAATGTTTTTGCCATAATTTATCTATCTCCACCAAACATATTTCTTTGATCTCATCAGCAGATAGCTGTAAAGTGGATAAATTTAACACCCTTCTTCGATTGAACAAGATATCATCACTCAATAGATCCCAATTTTTTCCCACAAAGATTGCACATAAGACACTTGACAGTGAATAAGAATTGTGAAAAACAAATTCCTTACTTTATATCCAGAACCCTAAAATGCAACTTCTTTCAAGCAGTCACTTCATTCATCATCATCTTCCAATCACTGAAGATCATACCATGCTTTTTGGAATAAAGCATGAACAACAACATTAACTGTTCGAATTTCTTCATAAGGACGAAATCCTCTGACTAAATGCAGCAGTAACAAGCGAAGATAAAATCTTTCCTTACCTGATGGAGGACAATAATACAATCTTCCAATACAAACCTTGCTCTTCCTCATCTGCCACCTTTTCAACTTCCGATTCCAAACGAAATATTGAGAAAACTCCACAAAGGTATAGTTTTGTGCCTTAGAAGAATGAGCATTGATTTCCATCAATGCATTCAAAATCGCAATTCTAACTAGAAGCGGGGGTAAAATCAAAAAGTGTAGAATTAAAGCGTAAAAATGTAAGTTTTTTACGCATACTGTGAAATAATGAACAATGTGTTAAGTACGACCTATACTTTGTAAACTATGAGTGCACATAATTTAGATAAGTTAATAAATACATGTAATTCATGTCTAAAGTTGAGAAACTCGTAACATCTTAACAATAAGTTCATAAACATATATCTTAACAATAAGCTACCTTCCCCTCTATGCTAGTGAATTTGGAAAGAGCCTAGCTGGTGAATTAGATTACTCTATTGAAGCTAAGAATACACCCAAATACCTGATATGTATCTTTTAATTTCAAATATATCATATTTTTGTGATTTACCTTTAAAATATACTTTTTATAATTATTTTCATGAATAGAATACTCATTTACTAAACCAGAAGCGTAAAAGCGTAAAGCGTTTTGGTGAACCAGAAGCATAAAAGCGTAAGCTTTAAAGCTTTAAAGCCCATTTTAGTCCTGATTTTATACACTATAGATATTATATGGAAACGAAAGCGTTGTGGGGACTTAGAAATGTAAAATCAGAATGAGAGAAGTATTGGGGTACTAGTTTTCCTTGGACCTAATTATCACCAACAAAATCAACACTTAATCTCTCGAAACAAAAAATAAACCATAGAAAGATTTCCACCATTACTGAAACCTAGACTAGCTAATCATATTCATCATACAAGAAATCGAAGATCTGTAAGACCATTCATCAGTAACCCATTTCCTGACATCCTAACAAGAAATAATAGAGAAATAGGAGAATCAATCAAAGTAGCCTCAATACCTCTTGTACCCGAGGATTGTTCCTCGGACATCTGGAATGGAGGTCGGGACGCGGAGCAGATAAGGAGCAGCCGAGCAAGAGGGCGGTGGGACGGAGAGGTCTGGGGCTCTGGGCAGGGCGGCGATTGTCGAAAATGGAGTCGAGCTGGGAGGGTGGAGGCGGTGCAGATTTGCGCGGGGTTTCATAGAGGGAGAGCCGAAGAGGAGAGGGATGGAATGGAAAGTGCGGGCATGCAGGTGCGGCGGGGTTTCTGGGAGTTGGGGGGAATTTTGGAAATGTAGGGTTTAATAAGTGTATATGGGTATCCACTGGGCGGGTACCCCCAAACTCGAACCCTCCCCAACCTGCCCAACAACACACCGGGTTTAAACCCGAACCTGGCCCGTATGCGGTCAATACGGATTTTACCCGCTTTGACCGGGTTGGATTGGGTACCCGCGGGTCCATGTTTCAATGCCATCCCTACTAGTAAACAAGAAAGATTCGAGTTGATATAGAGAAACAGACCAAGGGTATAAGAAAGTATAAACTGGGGTCATTTGGTGATGCGTGACAGCCTTACGCATCGAGAACTTGAATACGAAAACTAAAGAAAATTGAAAGTACTAGGATTTATTTTTCTTCGATAAATAAAACATAAGGGTTAAGTACATATTTATAGGACAAATCCCATAAACCCTCTCCCTCAAACATGGTAAGCTAATCACAATCCGAATCCTAATTGACTACTACCTAAATTAGAATAGTACTAACCCGATAAACTAGAGTAATATCCCAAAGTAAACATAACAATAATTATGACGAAAAGAGGTCCAGAGGCTCGGCCACATAAATGCATCATTTGGAAGTTGTGATTTCAAATGGTATATTGAGCTAATTCATGTATTTGTGATATCAAGTCTTTTTTTGGCTTATATTGAACTAGAATACATGCATTAACTTTTTGGAGGCCCCACTACAATCATTCATAATTGAGGGATTATCAATCTCTAGGCTTGGCAACTGAGCCCGAATTCCGGGTACCCGCCCGGGCCCGATCCGTTACCTGGCGGGTTAAATCCGTTTGACCGGATTGTTGACGGTTTCCGGGGAACCCGAAACCCGCTGTAGCCGGTTGACGGGCGGTGATGGTTTTGTACAAATCCGCCCCGACAAGCCCCGCAACCCGCGTTTAGAGAACCCTAGCCCCCCCCCCCCCCTTCCAACTTCAATTCGCGAAAAATCCTCTTCCTCTGATAAACCAATCTCCAAGCCCGACCCTTCCCCTTCTGCCTTCTCCTCAAATCTCGTAGTTTTCTCTTCGATTGCAGAGAAAAACGGCAATAATCCCTACATTGATTGCTCAAAAGATCAGATATCCAATCATTCTGT